TTCGAGTAGAGGGTAGCTATATCCCATTAACCACCAAGATCTGTTCGTTAATTCTCTCCTGTAATTGCTACATATTCCTCAGCAATTTGGTGTTAGATCAAGATAAAACCCTTCTACCTGATAAGTTTGCAGATTCTCCTTATCTATTTGCAGGATAACGTTTGGATATCATAGAAAAGAAGCTACATGATAATCTTTCTGTGAGTTAGAGGTTTAACCGTTACTATCAGAAGGAATAATTTGAACGAAAAGTCATCCAAAGAAAATACGATACAACTTCGTACGTGATATATGTTACGTTTCAAAGCATTATTATAAAAAATATAACTTTAAAACACATGTTTTATCAAGGGCATGGTGCTAGAAGAATAAAAGAAAGCGCAATTTAGCTCGAAAGAAATAGACTGCCTCAGTCAGTACTTAAATTCATAGTCGTTAACACTTGACGATGTTACAAATTGATATAAATGGTATTTCTTTTCAAATTTCAGTCGACACATGGAGAGTAACCGCAAGTGCAGCACAAATTCCAGGGAGTTGGAGCGTTTCGGCCACAGCTTCTCTTCACGCAGCAGTAACTACCAACAAGGAAATTCATTTCCAATCTCAGAGTGAGGCAAACACCCTCTTCGCGACTGAACCTCGTCCTGAAATAGAGATTAAGCAGGCTGAGCCTCATACTGAAGGAGAGGCGCTGGCAGAGGGTGAGTCAACTTCAGAGGCAATAAGTGAACAAGCAGGAGAATCCGAGCCATATACAGAACCTGAAACTTGGCCGGAGCCAGGGCCAAGGTGGAGTGAAGCCTTTGAAAAATGGAAGGCAGCTTGGTACATTCATGTTTACTTCTTCGCCATCGCATTTCTTGCAATTGGATTTTATGCTGGTTATTACGTCATCTTGAACATTTACGACGGCTTAGGAGGAAAATACTTAAGTGTTTGTTTAAACGGCATGGTGCTCTTGTTTGGTACAAGCAGGGCCTTTGTACTGTTTTTGGATCCGTATCATCAAGGGGGCTTAATAAAGGCTCTTTTCACAATGCGCCTCTTATGGTCCATTGGCGGTCCTTGTCTCACCGCTTCTGACTCCCTCATAATATTAGCTCTGGTAGAAACCGCTCGTGTGTCCATTGCCCCTCCGAGATTTCAGAAGCTTGGAACAATTTCAATCGTGATTACATTCCATTTTGTACTCGTTATCGTTTCGGACTCAATCGTCTCAACTTACATGGAAGCGAAAATCATGATTTTACTATGTCAGTTATTCTTCTCCATATGGGGAATTACATTGGGTGCCGGATACGCAAACCTTGCGTACAAACTCGACAAGCAACTCTTCAGTCATAAACAGATCAAGGAAAAAGGTGATAAAATTTATATATTTCTCATTTACGCCTCTGCCGCGGCGAATTTTTTCATTTGCGGCGTTATGATCTACACCGCAGTCGGTGTATTTGGTGTATATACAGACATTGAGTACGTGGACGCCTGGCACTGGTGGACGTTGCAAACTTTATTTCGTACCGGGGAAGTTATAACCTGCGTTTTAATTTTCACGGTTAGTGCCAAGAGATCACGTGTAAAGAGAGCTGCAGATGAAGTTTCTGAGTTCGATTCGCGGTCCCAAACGTTCGATCCGATGGACGGGTGTTCTGCGTTTCGAAAAGTTCGATCGTTTTTCGACAGATTTAGAAAACGGGCAACGATTTCTGATATCGCAGATGCGTTTAAAGACGATTCAGAAACCACTGTTGGGGTCAATAGAAGTAGCTTTAAAAGGAGAACTGCCAGTAAAGGCAACGATGATGATGATGTACTTCCACCCGTTTTTGAAGCATTTCAAGAGAGAGGCAGGGGGAGAAGGCAAGATTTGTTTTCTCATATGCGTGTGGCGACCGTCGAAAACCAAATTGCACAGCTCGATACAATGGCTCCAGCGGTTGCTCCTAGACCAAGGAGGGGACGAAGGCAGAGTTTATTTTCTGCGATGCATGAGGCTAGCATAAACAGCGCTATTTCCTCGTTTGCTCAGCATATAACTGAGGCCAGCGAAGAACCCACAAAATGCGAGTCTTTCGAAAAGGATGGGGAGCTGAACGAGGAGCCAAAACCTCCACCTCGAAGAGGTCGGCGGACCAACATTTTCTCGAATCTTCCGGAAACAAAACCGGAAGTGAAAAATCCTCGTCGAGGCATGATGGAGGATATTGCTGAGGAGTCAACTGTTTACGAAGGGGAGGGTGACGCGACTAGGAAACGCCCACCGCTTTTCAAAATGCGAAGCTCAGACAGAATGCGCCACTTAATTTTAACATGGCTCTCGCGATCCAAAGGTTCTTCCGATGAACCGAAAGACATTGCTGAAGAAGAAGAACCTAAAATTGACCAAGATGAGAAATCTGGGACAGATTCCCTTCCCACAGAGAATTGTTGATGACCTTGTGACAAATTTGATGGTAAATTGCCATTTTTGTGGGTTCCTTGTGAATAAATGCATACTGACCCACACAAACCCTGTGTCTCTTTTATGAGCAGTTTTAAACGTAGATCCCCTTAAGTGTTGTTGAATTAATCTCTGCCTGATCCTATTTGATCCACATTACATTTCTTTAAAATAAAATTGCGGAAAACTTGTGTTTCATATCTTGCAGCTTTAAGACCGAATTACTTACTCATGTTTTTAAAGGGTTGGAAGTTGTAAGGTGGATGGGGGACTTAACGTATTTCTTCAGTAGTGTCAAAGCAGTCCATAACACAGCCAGTTTCAGGTTAAAGAAAAGTGGAAACAAAGGGGGTGTTAGAATTTTTTTATGACAGCAGGAATGCTAATTGAAACATATAAACGCGCAACAAGGAGCTCGTATGAAACAAAAAAATTAAAAACAAAATAAAAATGATATTTTTGTGACAGAAAGGGACCAGTCATTATTGCTCGCTTAGGAAGAAGGGAGGTCTGAGGGGGTCGGACGATTTTGGAGAGGACCACGTGGTTTTCTGGGGGAACGGAAAGGGGGATCAATCATCACTAACAGAGTATAAAGACAGATTACAGAAGATTGACTTCCAATGTGGAAGATCTGTAGGATACTACAGAACTTTGAGGAGGGGAAAACCAGGTAAATTCCATTGTGCCGGAACCAAATTCCTCCGAACCCATGCCCTACTCCCTCCCCCTTCCTCAAGGGGTAGATATGCCACAGATCTTCCCCATGAAGTGTTCGATCGGCGGTCGACATTATCAGAGTTAAAACCTAATGCTTCTCAGTATTCTTCATCTTCTACTTCACTCTCCTGTCTCTCTTCATTTGAAGAGTGCTACGGCTGTAGCTGATGGGGTAGATCTGTGACACATTTATCAGAATTTTCTTCAGACGACAGCAATATATCATCAACAAGAGCGAAACGCTGCATTGTTTTCAAAATTAGAAAAAGATATGCAACTTGATGGTTCGCTAATGATTGGTTTTATGTCCAACAGTTCTTCTCGTCGTTGCGTTTTTTTTTTCCTTTTTCCATTTTCTACATTTCTTCGTTACCACATGTCTTCGAGTTGTGCCAAATCCGGTCCTTGGGTTGCACGACTTGCAATTTTCGTTGCTGTTACTAACGGTAACAATTCTGGCTTTAGAGCCTCCCTGGCTACAAGCGGCATTAAAACCCTCCATGTTGCATCGGGTCTGTAGAGGGGCCTGGGCATCAAGAGTTGTTGTCTGATCTTCACACCAATGCGGTAGGAGGGCTTTTGGGAAAAACGGGTGATGTGGTTGGGACACACGATGAGTATTGAGTCTAGTAAGAGTGTTACATCGACGCAGCAAGTCTTTTCGGAGGGACCGGGGAAGTTATCAGAGAAGAATTCTGCCGCGTTTTTCATTCTAGGCTTATTAGTTAAGCTGATAAATACAGAACTCTTCTACAGTAACTGAAGAAAGACAAGAAAAGACGCATCTGGAGAAAGGTAGTCTATTTTATTGAAGTATCGTTCCAATATACAATTAGGCCACAGATCCTAACCGTTTTTCCCCCTTTCGATCTTTTAGGAATTATAACGATAATTTGACAGTCGAAACGCAGGGGGGAAGTGGTGTTTGGCCCTTCCACCTCTACCCCCTAGGCTAATAATTGTGACTTACGGCAGATTCTTAACTTTTATCTGAGATTTCAATGACTATTATTCAATCTTTTTCTACACGAGATAATTTCAGTATCTTCAATTTCCGATGCAGGAGATTAGAAAAAATGGCTAGAGATTGATCTAGGATAAAACTTTACATTTACACTGACGTGGGTCCATATCCAAGGAATGTTCTCGAAATACGAGAAGTATGTACCTTGATGATTAAATTAATTTTTGGTTTAATTTGCAGAAGTTCCCCTTCACTGTACCAAGACGTATCCCATGGCAATATTTGAAAAACCGGATGCCATGTTACCACACGTGATGGAATTGTCAGGGACTCCTCCTGTACCGAATCCGATCCTTGAGTTACACGAGTTACACCAATTCTGGCTGTAACTAACAATACCAATTCTTGCTTTAGAATATCAACTCTTACTACAAATGGCATTGAACCCTTCCTTGTTACACTTTTTCTGTAAAGAGGCTTTAAAGCCAATCAACTATTTCCACTTGTTACGACCCAGTGACGTGGCTCGGTACCGGCCATCAGCGATCAGTGAGTACAGAGAGTCGGCCTGCTTGTTGATGACAATAAACCTGAGCTGTTGGTCGATCTCCATACCGAGACAGATCTTGGAGAAGGATGTGTTCCAATAAGTGGGTAGCTTAGTTTCCTGTCGGTCAAAGCCAGTTTTCCCCCCAGGGAGGTTGTATTCTTCATGATCACTCCAATATGTTGCGTGATAATGAAAAGTGCTCTGAAAAAGAGTAATTCATTAATATAACAATAACAACAATCTTCAGCAACTAATAGTTTTTCTATGCAACGACATACTTTGGTAACCCTGTAAGATTTATGGCTGTGCAGTCAACCGGCTTTGATTATTGTAAACACAAATGAAAGACCCTATAAAAAGGAAAAATACTCACCTTGGTTCCGTCAATCTTCATAACCGGCGTCCATCCTCCATTTCCACATCCAAAAACTCCCATGTGACAGAGAACAGAGACTGGTTTGGAGTCCACACGGAGAGTAACCAGTTGACTGACATAAGATCTATTTAAAAAAATTGATAACCTTGACTAACAAATCAAAAAGAATGATTTAATCGTTACAATGATGATGATGTTAATGTAGTACTAATACAAAAAGCTGTGTGGACTACTGGAGATGATTTTTTTCTCTGTTGATGAAATATCAGCCTTCTCCAGAACGCCTCGTAAGCAAACCTCCAACAAGAAGGTGACTTCATCTATCATGGTAAGTGGATGATTTCATTGAAAACGATCACTCGCGTTTATCACTCCTGTTACAGCCTGGCAACCTACTGAACCATTCCTCAATAAAAAGAAGAAATTTTAAAAGAACGAAGGCTCATTGTATCACTCATAGTTTTTCTCGAGCTTTGCTCTCGGAAAATTGTTCGCATCTTAGAACAGATTATGTACGCAGAGAAATCTCCGAACAAAGGTTTGCGCCAAAGAGGTTATTGTGTTTATCATCCTTCAAATATTTTGCAACGCGGGTGAAAAAATTTTTACGAACAGCCTACTGTTTCCTCCGTGGGAAGATTTCTTTTGAGAGTTCTCTGATACGACTTAGTGAACAAAAAAGATGTCCTTTCTTGTGTAATAACCACAAAACCCCCTCTCATCTTGATTTAAACGTGAGTGTTAGCTGGGGGATATTTGGTCACGTGCTGCGTTTAGACGCACGCTTGAGCAAAAATAATTAAGGGATCGTAAATAAGGAAAGCGTGCTCCGAAATTCGCCAGACGGAGGTCATCTCAGGTCCATTTCCGATTACGAAATCCGAGCTCGCGCGATATTGTAATTATATCATGTAGCATTTTAGACTGGCAAAATAGCATTAAGGTATTTGTATTTTTTCCCCGTATTTGGTTGAGAATATTCCGTCACGTAATGCGATTCGACCAATAGCGCGCTCGCAAAAACATTTGATGAATCATAATGAAACATTAATATTTCTTGCAACCGTGCACGTATTATTGTTTGTTGTATCTTTTATATATTACCAAAGCTGTCTTAATCAAGCTTAGGAGAGAATATTGGGTAATGGTAGAAGAGAGATCACTAACATAAACTTCGTCTCGTGAACGACGGGGCTCAAATAATGATGGGATTATTTGTGTGGAAAAACAATTTGATTTCATCAAATGAGTTGCTTGATTGTAATTTTGGATTCAAATTGCTGAACAATACTCAGAAATAGACTTACCTGTAGACGTTATGCAATTCATTGCACGACTTTAAGCCTAAGAGGAAAAACGTAAAAGAAAGATCAGAATAAGTCTCATTTTTCTATTTATTTATTTATTCATCCATTTATCCACTTCTTTCACATTCAGAGTTTAAGTGTGATATTTAATTCTACTTAATCGATTTCCTATTCACAACATCTATCAACATCTAAATTGAAAAAAAAAATTGAGTGTTGATAATGAAGAAAAAAAGAAAAAGCAAGAGAAGAGCAGAAACATAAAACATAGGCCCTCCCAGGACATTTTTTAGCGACAATTCATACTGAATGTAGATGGGAAATATTGACATGTCAATTACCTTTCTCGCAAAATTCTCCCACGAAACCTTGTTCACAGAGACATTCGTAAGAGTGGTATTTGTAATTCGGGATGCAGGTTCCTCTGTTTTGACATGGCGAAGAAGAACAAGAAGACTGAAATGAATAGATAAATAATTAATGTTAAGACCAGTGAATGCTTAAATAGTGGTTGAGATGAATGGCGCATATATCTTTAAAGTCAGCAATTGCATTATTCGCCCAAGAAAAAGTGCCTACCTGAAAGGAAAAATGATGCGAGCTTGTGTTTTCGTTGTAGTTCTCGGCGTCTCTGTACTTATCTGAAGATAACAATTCACACCAAACTTCTCCCTCTGCTTCTTTGGAGGCGGCCATGTTTATCGAGAGGCATAGCGGATTTGTAATACATTTAAATACGCAGTCTAACAGGTCGTACAAATTGAATATTCCAAGTGAAGTTACGTTCAGATAATGGAAGTGTTCTTTTAAAAAGTGACGCTGCTTAAATGTCTTGTCCAGAGGAAACCCGTCTTGCTTCAAACCGTTTGTTTCTGAAGCGGAAGACAACGAAATTTAGCTATATCTATATACAAATGGTGTTAAAGATATTTTAAAGTGAATACTAGGTTTAATTCTGTATATAGATTTTCTCAATATTGTTCTAGACAATAGTATTTCCTACAAGTCAATCGAGTCGCCCTTCTGTCTTAGGGGGAAGAATAAACGAACCCCAAATACAATTTGGCAAATTTTCTCCATTTATAGCAATTGCTATTTGTAAGTACTGAGTATTGCGAAAGCTTTGAGTTTGAAATGTTTTCAAAATGTGTCACTAAACATAAAAAGCGTAACGTCAAAACACTTTACATACTCTGTACATCATCTTTAATATCCATATAAAGCAAAGCCCCAATAATGAATATTTTTCTCGGTTTCTCTTTCTTCTTAGTGTTCCAGAAGCCTCATTTATTTTTCAAACAGTTGCGGTATAATACACTTATTTTAACATTCTTACTCCTCCGGGAGAGAACTCTACCAGAAAACATTTCCTTAAAAGGAGGACCCCTAATTTGTCTCTATACTTCAATTACGTTTTTTGGCTGCATAAGAAGCAATAAAAGGGAAATTGTGTGTTTGTTTTTATTTCGAGGAACATAAAAATAAGTTTAGAAGAATGACCTCATGAAATATTTAGGATTCATCATTCAGTTCCCGAAAGGCAAGCCATTGAACGGCCAAACCTAACGATTCTGTTTTTCTATTTGAAGTGAAGACTTAATGAATATAAATATTTTGTACCATAGATTAACCATATTAACTATGAAAGCCTAGATGGTAAAGGTTTTTATCTAATGGTTATTTCAAAAATCATTTTATGTTTGGTTTATTAACCTAACTTTGTATGAAACACATCTTGTGTATTATAAACTGTAATTTTAAATAGGGCATGTTTTTCTTTTCGTTTGTTTCTCCCTAAAACCAACCGAGTGAGAATTCTAGTGAAATTTCAAAGCCTCCTCAAAGAAGTATAAAGAGTAAAAGAAAGGACTAGGTTAGGTCTGAAATAAGCATTTTCAATGGCAGACGATGGAAACGAATTAAAGTTTGGTTCAAAACATGTGATCTACACAGGTGCGTGGAAATATGACTGATAATTAGTCTTCCTAACACAGACTGCTTCGAAGTGTTTCAGATGAAAATTTTATACTCTATTACCGATGCAAGATAACAAAAAAGTTATATTCGCTTTATAATAAAGCCGTATTTATGGTGGTATGAAGATTAAAAGGTTTGTTTCTTAAAAAAAAATGTATTTTAAAGGAGTAGTATTTTTGGAATGAAATGTTATATAGCATAGACATCACACTTCTTGATGCAATAATTCAACAGATAAAAAATCCGAGAAAGGGAATAATAAAGTATTTACCTGTAGAACAGATGGTTGGGGTGAAGAGGGAGGACACGCAAAAGAGAATGAGATGACGCTTGAAATCAGCAGACATGACTGATTTCCGGAGGTACGAGATGAAATTTAGCTTCGCATGCATGCGCACTTAGTGCCGCATTAAAGTTGTGCATCAGGAACTTAACCAGTTATCGTTTGAAGACGAAACACTGTGCAATGCGGTGGCACAATTGACTTCCTGTTTTCTGTTTTTAAGATCTTGGGGATTATTTGTTGTTGATTAAGTTCTAGCCAATTGGTAGCGACCAGACACACCTGTAGCCAGTCATTTGAATAGTAAGACAAAGAGCTGTAACAGAGCTAAAGAAATGGTTTCTTCTTATTCGTTTACCAGAGTTGATGAGAAATTCACTAATGGGAAAACAGAATCGACTTCCTCACTACATTGTAGCCAATCGACGACGGCTGGAAACCTGGAAACAGGTTATTTAGTTGAAAAAGAAAGGACCTCTTTTTCTTTGCTAATGATGGTGAGAGTGAGTGATTGATTAATTTCCTTTTCAACCGAAGCCATTCAGTTCTTGAATAAATAAAGGTTGATAGTCTCTAAAGAAACTGTTTGGGGCTGCGTCGGTGGGGGTAACGAAATAATTCGAAAATATCAACAAAGTTGAAATGGTAAATTGGCCACCGTTACGATTATAAAAGCTGACGTTTCGAGCGTTAGCCCTTCGTCGGAGCGGATAAATCATTCTTGAATAAATCTGATAATTTTGATTGCACGTTCTAATTACCTGGAAGGGTATCTATGTTATTCACCAGTCGGGGGAGGGACCGTATTGGGAAAATCTGTGCCCGAGGTCTCTGCCTGACTTAGGTTGGTGAATAACATTTTTATTTTTTTATAAAACGTAACGAAATGCTTTCCAGAAGAACGCGAATGTTTAAGGGATGTAATTACGCCAAGATCCTATGTAAACTGAAAAATTTTTGAGAAAGCAATTGGAAGTTAAGACAGAGGTAATGCAAATTAAATACAGAAGTTTGACCGAAATATTTGTTTATGTGTAATGATAAAGGTGATTTAAAAGGCTTCCAAGGAAACTTTGAAACATCACGATCTGACACCTGTCATAATCAGTTAGAGAGCGTGTAACAATTTTGTTTGTGGGCGTGACAAGAACCACTCCAAATTTGCCTCGTCCCATCACATCTTGCCCGACTAATTCTCCCCATGCCATCGAACCTTTAATTTTTTTTTAACATTTAGTGGCAAAAGCCAAAGGAAATTTAAAACTTCAGTTATGTTGACCGAAAATCAAGAAGACTGGAAAAGGGCAAAACATTTCCTGCTGCGTCGTTATATTTTCCTCGCCGTTTTCGCGCCATCTAGAACAGCTTTGGGAGAATTTGGCTTTTTTAAGGTTGTGATACTTTTCTTTGTACAGTGGACATATTTTCCCATGATTTTTGGGTGAGTGGCGACGTATAAAAGTTCAGGTCACGCAATGGAAAATAAAGCCAAGCCAATTGAAATCAGGAACAAAAAAGATCATGACACGAACACTAGACAAACTGTAAGGGAACTTTTGACTGAATTATTCTCCCAACTGTTGAACGTCACTGAACCTATGCGCGGGGTTCATTTTTACTCACGTGATTTGTCAGCATATTACTTACCAGGATATTATAAAAACCATCACGTATTCCCACCTATTTCAGTCAGTAATTTGCTGCTCCACTTGTCGCCGTCTCTGGGTTATAGGTTTAGAGTACTGTTGACGATATCGACGTAATCTGCGATCAGGCGCTCTTTCAGTTTTGACGAAAGGGGGAAGGGGAAAAACAATGCCTGATACAACTCGTTTTTGGTTTGGTCTACTTTTATGATTTCCTGATTGCACATCTCATCAAGATAACACTTAAATGTTTCCTGAGAAGCATGGGCCGAAGTAATTAAAACAAAAACGACAGTGCAATTCATGAAAACTTCAACACATTATGCAGTACTTTCTTGTTACTTCCGCCTTGTTCAAAACAGGTGTTGCGTTTCAAGAAATAGTAAACGCTTTGTTGTAGGACAATGAAATTGCATGACATCGAGTTAACCTATTACACTCTCTCCGAGGGTGCGTTGGTAAATTTTGAACGTGAAAAACTTCTGCCTTTTGTCTTTAACAGCTTCTGCAATCTGTAAGTAGTCAAATTTGCATTTTAATTTTACCACTTCATTTTTGGTGACAGAGGAACTTTTAAGTTTAAAAACTTGAATATAATAGAGGTTATAATTAAGCTTCCCTGGGTAACTATTGGCTGTTGTTAACACGAAAGGAAAGAAGAAGAAGAAAAAAAGTGAGTGCTTGGAATCAACAGACTTGAACTAACGTATGCAGTAAACATCATCCTTTCATGTTATTTCAACTAATTAACGTTCCATACCGCCTTCATTTCAAGATAAATGTTGATTAATTTTCTTCAATTAGCAAGAACAGTAATGATGGACTTCATAGATTCAATTTTTCCAGCTACGAGGAAAAAGGTTTCTTCTAATTTTTAATCTGAGGAAAACTGACTGAACAGAGAGCAATTTTTTTATTGTGCGATGACGGCCCACTTAACTATTGGGTCTTGATAAAAGTGTCCAAAGCGCCTATAGCATACACCTCCATCACATCTTTTACGTATCAAAGATGCTATTATCTTGTAGAGAATGTTAAACTTTTAGAACCTTACTTGGATTAGGTGTACCTAGAAGGGTATCTTTAAATTACATAGTTAGAGAAGGCATTTAAAAATGACACAATTTTCATTTCAAAATGTATAAAATGTATATGGGAATAATTTCACCAGCTCTTGATATGTCTCAGTACTGCAAGGAGCACACCACAAGTGTCTGACTGAAGCTTTGCAAATGACCATACTAAATATGGTAATTTGGGTGCCAGTAGGAATATCCTGCAGAATATAAACTTTAATTCTCTTGATTTTCAGCGGCAGTTTTCGGAAAAGCTCGCATTATCTGCGGTATCAGGTCAAGCATAAAACTTTGTATCGATGGCTTTTCAAAGATATAAGGTGTGATTATCCATGTTACAAATCTGGCCAGTTAAAAATTTCGCATTTGAGATGCGTGCCTCTTTTTTTTTTTCTGAATGGAGATTATCTCTCCTCTGCAATTGAAACACCTTTCCTTTTGAATCAGTTTTTTCCTTTTATAGATTTTTTTCGTTTGCATTTAATTATCAAAATGAGGAATGTAAGATGGCGGCCGGTCGCACCTTGCCGAACTCGCTTGAACTTTTAGTTTTATTGTTAACGACTGCAATTATTCTACGCGAAGAAGCTCACATACGGTGAAGTAATGATCAAAGGGCTCTGCAGGCTGCTGCTTTACCATCTATGTTTTGGTTTTCCACCGAGATGCCACTTGCTGACACAAATTTGATCAGTTTTAAGTTTCGAGCAAAGCGCTTCTCGACATGCCGGGTACCATACACTTCCAGGAAAACGAGCAGTTTTAATCTGGTGAGAGATGTCCTGGTATGTGGTGATATCCAGGCAAACCCCGGTCCTAGAAAGACGAAACCGCCGCAAAAATTTCCCTGTAGCGAGTGTGATAAAGCTGTGAGGAAGAATCAAGACGCCATTTTGTGTGCTAGTTGCAACAAGTGGTCGCACGCTAAATGCTTACAGATGTCACATACAATTTTCCAGTACTACCTCAGCAAGCCTGACATCGAGTGGACCTGTACAAGCTGTGCCCTGCCGCCACCACTAAGTGATTCTTTTTTCGCAGGAGACTCAGGCGTTGAATCACTGAACAAAACCTTTGAATGCTTGAATGTATCTGACTCTCAGGGCTACTCAAATACAGGAATAGCTGAAATAACTGAGACCCTGTCAAAATATGGATCCAAATATTGTGTTATTGGAAGTCTAAATATTAACAGCTTATGCGGAAAATTCAGCGAGGTCCTTGAGTGGATAGAGGTCTTTGATATTCTAAGCCTTCTAGAAACAAAAATTGATAAAACTTTTCCTGACTCGCAGTTTGCTATCACCGGCTAAAATGTATCGAGGGGATCGGAAGAAAGGAGGAGGATGAATAGTGGTTTACGTTCGTAACTCTATACCTTCGGATTGTCTAAGAATTAAATCCAACGAGGTTGAGGCTATTTTGGTCAATATTCATATTGGCCAACAACATATTTCTTTATTATGTGGCTATAAGCCACCATCTGTAAACATTAACACTTTCAGGAGTGAGATGTCTACTTTCTTGGATGCTGCGATCTCTAATCGTCCAAACATAATATGCTTAGGAGACTTGAACTGTGATATTGTACATCCGCTAGATAATGGCAAAGAAGGAAGGGTGTGGCTAGATATCCGTGATGTCTATGATCTTCAAAATCTTATTACACAGACGACCAGAATTTCTCTCACCAAAGAATCTTGTTTAGACATTATAGCAACGAACGTGCCTGCTTTGAATTACAATCAGGGTCTCTGGAGACAGGTCTCAGCGATCATAAATTAGTCTATACCATTTTTAAATAGAAAGGTCGGGAAGCCGAAAACTACGATCAGCAGATGACTGGGAGGCATACAGATGTCAAAGAAACCGTGTGGTTGCTATGTGTCGTCAATCTATTATACATCATTTTGATCAGCTATGCACTTCGCGAGCGGGTAATCCGAGAGCTTTCTGGAAATCACTGCGGCCTTTAATGCTTACCAGAAGGCACAGGTCGGAGGACTTTATTGTTCTCAAAGAGAATGACAGAATCATCAGGGACCAGAGTGAAGTTGCTGAAACCTTTAATGAGTACTTTACTAACATCACGAAGGATTTAATTATTTATGATCACAGTGCTTTCAGTGACCAGACTCATTTAAAGAGAATTCCTGAGGTAAACAATGAAGCAGCCAATGTATTTAGTTTTCGGTTCACGAACCATCATGTTTTGAAAATGGTAGTTGAAGATTTCAAGACGAACAAACCACAGGAATACGACTTTTTTCCACCACAGGCTGTTAAAGCTTCATCTGGCTCTATAGCAAAGCCTCTAAGTGATCTAGTTAATACCATCATAACAACAGTTCTGGATAACTGGAAACGAGGCCAAATTACACCCCTTCA